TCTGACAATTGATTGACAAAGAGTAAAAAAAAACTTGCTCCGAGAAATATGATAGAACTATAGGTGGTGGAGGCACTGAACTGCCCTCTTGGAACCTCCAAACTATCAAAGATTGGCCCTTTTACATCTGGGTCAGGATGCAGTGTGTGGTTGTGGCAACGGTTCCACACACTGGGACTGTAGCACAGCACAACTGAACAACACATTAAATTGGTGATGGCAACATGTTAGTGACATGCCATCCAAGTTATGAGGATTCTAATTTCTAGCTTCACATTAGTACAGAGGACAATCACATTGGTTGTCATGCTGTTACGTTAGTCCTTTATGCTCAGTGTAGGAACAGTGGGCAGAATCCAGCCAAATCATATCTACTAACCTATTTATCCACTGCAGGTAAACAGGGTGAAGGCAGGATCCAAATCCAGCAATAACTGGACAATACCCAGGCTTTGCTGAAAAGTGGCAAGTAACATTCACACTACACAAATGCTAGGCAATGACTATCTCCAGTAAGAGACAATCTCATCACCGCCACCCCCCTTGACATTCAAATGGCATTACCACAACGGAATCCCCTATCAATATCCTAGGGCTCACCAGAAACTGAACAGGACTCATCACAAATACTTTGGCTACAAGAGCAGGTCAGAGGCTAGGAATACTGCAGCAAGTAACTCACCTCCTGACTCTCTAAAGCCTGCCCACCATCTACAAAGCACAAGTTAGAGTGTGATGGAATACTCCCCACTTGCCTGGATGAGTGCAGCCCGAACAACACTCGAGAAACTTGATACCATCCAGGACAAAGCAGCTCCTTGATTGGCACCACATCCATGAACATCCACTCCCTCCACCACCAACGGTCAGTAGAAACATCTACAAGATGCACTGAAGAGATCACCAAAGATCCTCAGACAGCACCTTCCATACCTACATCCATCTGGAAGGACAAGGGCAGCAGTTACTTGGGAACAAAAACAAAGTTGCTGCAGAAGCTCAGCAGGTCTGGCAGCATCTGTGAAGGAAAAATCAGAGTTAACGTTGAGTCCAGTGACCTTTCCTCAGAACTGATGATGGCTGGGAAAACGGCAGTTTATGTGCAGAAAATAGGGAGGTGGGTGGAGTAGGGAGTAAACGATAGGATAGAGCCCAAAGAGAGAGAGAGACAGTTGGACAGACAAAGGAGTTGATAATGATCAGGTTGGGAGGGTGAATAGTTGTTAATGAGGACTGTTAGTGACTAACAACAGGGGGTGTGTAATGGCAGGCTATGTGGTAACAAGGCCTGGTGTGTGGGGTAGGGGGCTGGGACATGGGAGAGTTTAGGCCCTAAAATTATTGAACTCGATACTGAGTCCGGACGGCTGCAGGGTCCCCAGGCGGAAAATGAGGTGTTATTCCTCCAGCCTGAGTTGGGCTTCGCTGGAACAATGCAGCAAGCCAGAGACAGATGTTGGCCAGGGAACAGGGTGGTGTGTTAAAGTGGCAAGCAACGGGTAGCTCAGGGTCTCTTTTGCGAACAGAACGTCGAGTCTACGCTTCATTTCTCCAAGGTAGAGGGGATCACATTGGTGAGCAGTGAATGCGGTAGACTAGATTCTGGGAAGTGCAGGTGAAGTGTTGCAGAATGGTCACTGGACCCAAAACGTTAACTCTGTTTTCTCCTTCACAGATGCTGCCAGACATGCTGAGCTTTTCCAGCAACTTTGTTTTTGTTCCTGATTTACAGCATCCGCAGTTCTTTCGGTTTTTATATTGTAAAGGGAGTGGTGACCAACAGGTGAACTGGGACTATTCCCACTTTTCAGGTGCTTAAAACCTTCTTGTCGCAACACTACACAAGCCGAATATGAGCAAATTAAAGAGATCATTCACACAATGTCACCCGATGGCATGAAGATGCCAGCTATTGCTTACTGGCAGTTCTGAGTCATGAGGACTGTGCATTCAGGTCCCACTCCAGTGATTTGAGGCTATCACTTGCTGCTGAGGTTACTGCCCTTCAGATAAACGCAAGGCCCCATCGGTCCTCTCAGGTGCCATGACAGTATCTCGAAGACAATCGGGAAGCCCCAGTCAACAAATGTGGAGCTGGAAAAGCACAGCAGGTAAGAAAGCATCAGGAAAGTCAATGTTTCCATCCAAAACCCTTCGTCAGGGTACCTACCGAAGGCTTTCAGCCTGAAACATTGACTTCCCTGCTCCTAGGATGCTGTCTGGAATAGGACTGGAACAAGGAAGACATACATCCATGATTCATCTGACACCTTACGCCGGTTTCAAAACTTCCAGTTTACTGGCTCCAGCCTCCTCCTCTTTACCATGGATGTGCAATCCCTTTACACGTCCATTCCCCACCAGGGCTCTCCACTTCTTCCTGGAGCAAAGACCTGAACCATCCCCACTCACCACCACCCTCTTCTGCTTGGCCAAGCTTGTCCTCACCTTCAACAACTTCTCTTTCAACTCCTCTCATTTTCTTCAGGTAAGAGGGGTTGCCATGGGTACCCTCATGGGCCCTAGTTCTGCCTGTCTCTTCATTGGGTACGTGGAACATTCCTTGTTCCAATCCTATTCCGGCCCCCACCAATAACTCTTTCTCTGATACATCGATGATATCATCGGTGCTGCTTCCCTCTCTCCTCTGGAATTGGAAAACTTCATCAATTTCACCTCCAATTTCCACCTTGCCCTCACTTTCACCTGGTCTATCTCTGACTCCTCCCTTCCTCGACATTTCTGGGGATAGACTGGCCACTAATATCCACTACAAACCCACTGACTCCCACAGCTACCGGGACTGTACATTCTCATACTTCCTGTAAGGACTCTAACCCATTCTCTCAGTTCCTCCGTCTCTGTCACATATATTCAGATGAGGCCAACTTCGACAAGGCAGCCTCCGAAATGTCCACCTTCTTCCTCAACCAAGGATTCCCCAGCCACGTTGTCGACAGGACCCTCAACTAGGTCCGACCCATCTCCCGCACTTCCGCCCTCACCCCTTCTCTTTCCTCCCGCAACAGCGATAGGGTTCCCCTTATCCTCACCTACCATCCAACCAGCATCCACACCCAGAAGATCATCAGACGCCATTTCTGCCATCTCCAGCAAGATGCCACCACCAGACACATATTCCCCTCCCCTCCCTTGTCTGCCTACCACAGGGACCATTCCCTCCGGGACACCTAGTGCACACTTCCTTCACCCCCAACACCTCCCCACAGCCTTATGGCACCTTCCCCTGTAACCAGCGAAGGTGCAACACCTGCCCATTTTCCTCCTCCCTCTCCAGTATCCAAGAGCCCAAACATACCTTCTCGGTGAAGCAACACTTCACCAGCACTTCCCAGAATCTAGTCTACTGCATTCGCTGCTCACAATGTGGTCTCCTCTACTCTGGGGAAACGGAGTGTAGACTTGGCAACCGCTTCGCAGAACATCTATGTTCTGCTCGCAAAAATGACCCTCAACTACCTGTTGCCTGCCACTTCAATGCACCACCCTGCTCCCTGGCCAACATCTGTCTCTGGCTTGCTGCAGTGTTCCAGTGAAGCCCAACGCAAGCTGAAGGAACAACACCTCATTTTCCGCTTGGGGACCCTGCAGCCTTCCGGACTCAATATCGAGCTCAATAATTTTAGGGCCTAAACTCTCCCATGTCCCAGCCCCCTACCCCACACACCAGGCCTTGTTACCACATAGCCTGCCATTACACACCTCCTGTTGTTAGTCACTAACAGTCCTCATTAACAACTATTCACCCTCCCAGCCTGATCGTTAGCAACTCCTTTGTCTGTCCAACTGTCTTTCTCTCTCTTTGGGCTCTATCCTATCGTTTACTCCCTACCCCACCCACTTCCCTATTTTCTGCATATAAACTGACGTTTTCCCAGCCACCATCAGTTCTGAGGAAGGGTCACCGGACCCGAACCGTTAACTCTGTTTTCTCCTCCATAGGTGCTGCCAGACCTGCTGAGCTTCTCCAGCAACTTTGTTTTTGTTCCTGACTCACAGGATCCACAGTTCTTTCGGTTTTTAGTTACTTGGGAACACTGCTCACCTTCAAGTTCCGCTCCAAGCTACTCACCATGACTTAGAAATATAATCGGCCGTTCCTTCATTGTCACTGGGTCAGAATCCTGGAATGCCCTCTCTAAGGGCACTGTGGGTCAACCGACACTGATGTGGACTGCAGTGGTTCAAGAAGGCAGCTCATCCCCACTTTCTCAAGGGCAACTCAGGGCAGACAATAAATGCTGGCTCAGCCAGCAACACCCACATCCCACAGGTAACACTGCACAGATAGATAGATGGTGATGTCTCTCAGCCTGGGTCCCCTTGTTTGCTTCCATGCTGTGACCATATGACGCCTCAGCGCAACTCCTGAAGTTAAGAGGCCGCGGTTGCAATTTTCTCAACTTTGATATTGTTTAAAGAATTCAATTTCTCCTGTCTGCCTGTGTGTCAAGGTACTCAGCACTTGCCTCGCTCTTCTTGCATTTAGTGCTTCCTTGAAATCCAATCTGTGTCCTCTGCCTCTTTGACAATGAAAGAGGCTTTAACACCCAACAAAGATGAGGCAAACAAGGAAAGGTGGCACCTCATGCTCAGTCAGTGATTGCTGCTGTGCAGGCAACATTTAAAAGCTACCAGAATGAGGTGCTGTTGTTCTGGTCATGCCCAACACAGCCCTAACGGCGAGGGGGCAATGGGTCCCACATGAATAATGAAGCAGTGCTGAGGGCAGAAAAAAACACTTCAAACGGAATTTCAAATTCTAGCGTCGGAAAGTTATAAATCCAGCATTTGGTGGAATGTCCAATCCCTGTGATTAGTTGAGGTGTTGCCATGGAGAATGCACCAGGGAACCATTACACCAACTCCCGCCACACACACACCCTCAGTGTTTTGTTTAGTGCAAAATGGCAACAGTCCTGGCCATACTGCTTTTACCTGCACACAAATAAATAATTAAAACCCTAAGTCATACTCACCTGAAGAGAATCAAGACAGCAGGGCAAGGTGGACAAGTAAGCAGGATTATCTGTAATAAAAGTACATCCAGTTAATCTGTTGTATGCATTCTTAAATGTCAAGAGAACGAAGACTGATTGTACAGCAGTAAAGGAGATCATTTAGAATGGTACCAGGGGTGAGGGGCTTCAGCTATGTGGAGAGACTAAAGGATTTGGTGCTTGTTCTCTACACAGCGGAGCAGGTTTTAAGGGAAATTTAATCATGAAGGCATTTGATACATTAAACACAAAGAAACTATCAACAAAATAGTCAGTAAGTAGAAGACAGAATCAGTATATGTATAGGTAGTGAGAGAGAGGCAGAGCGAGAGCAAGAGAGAAAAACAAAAGGGGCAGCATGAGACAGAAAGAGAGACAGGCCAAGTGAGTAAGACACAGTGAAAGCAGGAGTGTGTGTATGTGCGTGTGTGAGACAGAGAGAGTGTGTATGTGTGGGGTTAGGGAAATGTTTTGATTGAAAGGATAGTGCACCAATTTTCAAAAGTGATCACTTGAGATAAATGCTTGAGAAGGATAACTATCTTGTGGGAGGGACATTGGAGGCAGTGCAGAGAAGCTTCACCACAGGAATGGAGGTATTTCGTTATGAGGAGAGGTTGACTAGGTTGGATCTGTAATCATTGGGGTTTAGAACAATGAAAGGCAACTTATTGAAACAGACAAGAGGCTTGATAGGGTAGAAACTGAAATTTGAAGCTTGCCCAAAGATGACCATGTAACCATTTTTGATTGTTGAAAAAACTCATCTGGGTCACTCATGGTAATCTGCTGTCCTTACCTGCTCTGACCTATATATGACTCCAGAGACATAGCAATGCCTTAACTGCCCTCTGGGCAATTAGCAATGGGCAATAAAAGCTGTTGTAGCCAGCAATGCCCAGATCCCATGAACGAACAAAAAATACTCAGCACAAGACTGCAGGTGACACTCAGATATATGCATCCACGAAACAACTGGTATCCAGCTCTTTACAACCAATGTGATATCCTTCTTTCTTGAGACTATAGGACTAAAAATAAATATATTTAGCGCCTCTGTAAAACTATTCCAGTCATTAACAAATTTTGTTAAAATTAAAAGAAAGTAGATTGGATAGCAAAGGAGGCATTTGGGCTGCTTGTCTTTATTGGTCAGTGCATTGAGTATAGGAATTGGGAGGTCATATTGCAGCTGTAGAGACATTGTTTCGGCCACTTTTGGAGTATTGTGTGCAATTCTGGTCTTCCTACTTTAGGAAGGATGTTGTGAAACTTGAAGGGGTTCAGAAAAGATTTACAAGGATGTTGCCAGGGTTTGGAGGATTTGAGCTATGGGGAAAGGCTGAATAGACTGCGGCTATTTTCCCTGGAGTGTCAGAGGCTGAGGGGGTGAACTTAGAGGTTTATAAAATCATGGAGAATGGATAGGGTGAATAGGCAAGGTCTTTTCCTTGGGGTGGCAGAGTCCAAAACTAGAGGCCATAGGTTTAAGGTGAGAGGGGAAAGATTTAAAAGGGACGTAAGGGGCAATGTTTTCATGCAGAGGGTGGTGCGTGTATGGAATGAGCTGCCAGAGGAAGTGGTGGAGACTGGTACAATTACAACATTTAAAAGACATCTGGATGGGTATATGAATAGGAAGAGTTTGCAGAGATATGGACCAAATGCTGGCAAATAGGACTAGATTATTTTAGAATATCTGGTCGGCATGGACAAGTTGGACCACAGGGTCTGTTTCTGTGCTGTACAATTCTGACTCTACAACAAAATTACCTTTTATAAATAAAAACAACGCCCTGAAGATTGTTTGCTTTATCAAAATATTGTTCAGCTAACTCTTTCCCAGAAGGAAAACACATAAAACTTCTGAAATACATGTCTCTGTCCAACTTGTTGCATACACTTCAGAATGGCATTCCAGTGTAACCAGTATGTTTGTTTCCAGGTAAGGCTGGTTTTCACTCTGGGTGGTCCCAGAGGTTCCACACTGAAACACAGAAACCAGGAGCAGGTGTAGGCTATTTAGCCCTTCAAGTCTGCTCTGCTATTCAGTATGATCATGGCTGATCCTGCATCTCAATACCATTATTCAATTTTCTCCCCATTCCCTTGGATGCCTTGAAAAGCTCAAAATTTATCAATCTTTTTCTTGAATATCCAGTGACCCGGCCTACACAACCACCAAGGGTAGAGAACTGACCATCCTTTGAGTGAAAAAAGGTTTGAGGCTGTGTCCTCCTGCTTCTTGATTCCCCAACCAGGAGAAACAGCCTCCCTGCATCTTAGTCTGTCTAGATCAGATCCCCTCTGATCCTTCTAAACTCATGAATACAGGTGCAGTCAAACTGGTCTCTCCCCCAGGACACTCCAGCCATCCCCTGCATGTGACTCCAAACCCACAGCAATATCTTGTTAAAAGCCGAGTGAACCTCTGCTTTTGGGTAGCGAGACCAAAACTACACACAATACTCCAGGTGTGGTCTTACCAGCGCTCTGCATAACGTAGTGAGGCATCCCTATTTCTGAACTCAAATCCTCTTGCAGTGAAGGTTAATATACCATCTGCCTTCCAATTTGCTAGCTGCACCTACCCGTCTACTTGCACTGATTCGTGTACAAGGATACCCAGATCCCTTTGTGCACTTGCACTTCCCAATACATCACCATTTAAATAACAACAATCTGGCTCTCTGGAAAGGTAAACTTCATATTTAATATGATATATTGTGTCTGAAATGAGTTTGCCCACTCACTCAACTTGTCCAGATTTCTCTGAAACCTTGCATTCTTCTCAGAACTCAATTCTATCTCATTTTGTGTCATCAGCAAACTTGGAAATATTGCATTTTGTTCCCTCATTCAAGCCACTTGTAGATAGGCTGTAAATAGCTGGGCTCCGTTAGTAATTGTCTGCCACTCAGAAAATAAAAACCATTTATTCCACTCACTGCTTCCAATCTCAAGCAATTCTCAATCTAAGCCAAAATGTTACCCCCAATACCATGCATTTTAATTGTGGCCCCTAACGTGTATTTATTCTACCAGTTCCATCCTCAAAACAGTCCAGTCAATTAATTAAGCATGATTTCTGTTTCATAAGTCCATAATGACTTTGTCTAATCCCATTAATTCTTTACAAGTGATCTATTATCCTATCCTTTATAGGGGTCTAGCATTTTTCCCACTGCTGATGTCAAGCTAACTAGTCTGGAATTTACTTCCTCCTGTGTTATAAAGAATGGGATTACATTTGCCACCCTCTAATGTATAGAGTCTATAGAACAGTATACAAAATCTGTCCTGGGCTACCCACATTGATGCGACAGTCAAGACAGCACAACCTCAGGAAGCTAAGGAAATTCAGCATCTCCATAATGACTCTCACCAACTTTCACAGACGCACCATAGAAAGTATTCTATCTGGATGTATCATGGTTTGGTACGGCAACTGCTCTGCCCAAGTCTGTAAGAAACCACAGAGTGTTGTGAACACAGTCATGCAAGCCAACCTCCCATATGGAGTCATTCACGGGATAAGGGCGTCGCTGGCTTGGCAGCATTTATTGCCCAACCTGAATTGCCCAGAGGGCAGTTAAGAATCAACCACATTGCTATGGGTCTGGAGTCACATGCATGCCAGACCAGTTAAGGACAGCAGATTTCCCTCCCTGAACGACATTCACCAACTAAATGGATTCAAACAGATGAATCAATGCTATTAACATCAAAAAGAAGTTTAAGAGCTTCACAGGCACTAGTTAGGTGCTTAATCTTACTGCAACTAATTAAATAACTAAAACAGGAACTGCGGAAGAAACTCAGCAGGTCTGGCAGCATCTGTGGAGAGGAAACAAAATTAAGGTTTTGAGTCCAACATGAATCTCTCTGAGAAGGGTCATTGGACTCAAAACATTAACTCTATTTTTCCCTCGCTCCAGAGTTGCTGCCAGACCTGCTGAGTTTCTCCAGCAATTTCTGTTTTATTTGTTTAGATCTCCAGCTTCCTAGGTGCTTTATTTTATTTAACTAAATGATTATTCATCACCGTTATCGTTTGTCGAGATTTGCTGTGTGCTAAATGGGAGATAATTATAACAATGGCAACATTACTGGACGAGTAATGCAGAGTCCCAGGCTAATGCTAGAGTTACATGTTCAAATTCCACATGGTCAGCTTGTGGAATTTAAATGCCATAAATTAATAAGTTTAGTTAATGCATAAGAATGTAGAATCAAAAATTAATCCCAGTAAGGTGACTCAATTGTTGTAAAATTCCATCCAGTTAGAAACAAAATAGTAGCAGCAGCAGGCCATTTGAGTCTGCTCTGCCAATAAATGTGATGATGGCTGATCCCACTCAGTTTCCTGTTCCCACTTCCTCTCCATATCCTTTGCTCTCTTTGGCCCCAAGAATCATATACAGCTCCTTCATGAAAACATTCATGGTCTCAACTGCTTTTGTGGCAGAGAATTCCACAGGCTCCCTGCTCTCTGGGTGAAGACATCTCTCCTCATCTCAGTCTTAAATGACTTACCCAGTATCCTTGAAATTCTCATTCTGCACTCCCCTGTCATCGAGATCACCCTTCCTGCATTTAACATCGACAGAAATGCATTTAATCGGGCAAAAAAAAAAATTGCAATTCTTTTAACGATCCTCCAGGACACACTCCATAGCCTGTCTGAGAGATGGATTACACAGTTTTCAACAACAGTGGATATCTACTGATAAGAGACTTTTTTTTAAAAAAAATGTTCTTGGTTTTGCCAAGGCTGGAGTATGACCCACAGGCACACGGGCAATTTTTTAAATTCATTCATGGGAAGTAGGCATCACTGGGCAGGCCAGCATTTATTGCTCATCCTTATTTGCCCAGACAACAATTAAGAGTCAACCACATTGCTGTGGCTCTGGAGTCACATGTAGGCCAGCAGATTCTTTTCCTAACGGGCATTAGTGAACCAGATGGGTTTTTCCGACAAGCAACAATGGTTTCATGGTCATTGTTAGACTCTTAACCGAAGATC